AGAGAACCAAAAGTTTTTGTGGAAAATTACAGTCTGTCAAAGAAACAATAACTTTTTAGACAACGGAAAATCAATCTTGTCCAAGGATAGAGCACACAACTGGGAGACGAGCGACAGAGTCGAAGACGCATAGTCAGACACTCAACAGGACAACATCAACAGACCAACTGAGGAAACGGGATACAACTCCGAGTCAAGCCCATCTTGGCCTCATAAACTGCCGACGGTGAAAGGTTAACTAAGACAAGCAGACAACCATATTCAAGCCCAATAAAGAAAAGTATTACGGTTTGGAAGGTTTGAACAAAAGGAACGGGAAAAATTTTTACTGACACTTGAACGAGAAAACCGTACAATTTCAAACACTTTGAAAAAATTAGCAGGTGGAAAAATCCTACAGAAATGGGAAATAGCGAGACGCGACTACTCCTATAGACAAACTAACTTTTTTAAAGGTAGCATAACCGTTCCTGGTCCTAACCAATTACATGAAGTGGGGGCAAAAAAAGAACCGCCTCAAAAACACAACAAGAAGTTGCAATCTAGCCTTTTGACAGTTCGACGAAAACTCAGAAAAATGACGCGCTCTTTCAAGCCATAACCGAATTAGATGATACTCCAACCGCAGAGATCCAAAAGCAAGAACTTCTCTCCTTGTTACTTGATGAAAAACGAATCATTTTTCTTTCCAGTTGATACATCAAATCCAAGTGATTGGGAATGGACGTAGTTTTCCGTGTAGGAAAAGGGACAGATAAAAATTTATTAGCGGCCACTATTTTTGAATTCAACCTCAAGTCACCATCAAAACCCCACTTCACTGAAGAACCCAATTAAACTTGAAACTGTAGATGTAGATTGGGACGCAACACTGAACTAGGATCTCCAGATACAATCGACCCTTATCCGCGTTTGACTTTTACGACACTCCAACGGAGTAGTTATTCTCAGCTGACTGGAGTGCTTCACAGCCCACAGTCTACGACTCATCTGCAACCAACACTCCAAATTTCAAAATCACTGTGTAATCTGAGTAACAGCCATACTTTTTGTAGACCTACGTAAAGTATTGGACATCTATATTCTATGGTGGAAGAATATTGTAGATATGTTGCTGGCGAAAAGTTGAAACAAAATATGGGCAGCGCAGAGAACCCAGTTACACTCAGTGGAGACACGGTAAAGGATCACATTGTGGAAATTGAAGAGATGTGCGGGAAAACATTTGAACCTAGGACGATCAGCTCAACATCGCCAACGTTATCAAACGCTCCAACCGAAGTTATCCTAAAAACTAGAAACTTCACCAAAGAAGAAGCTCAGAAGCTACCAATTTCACTACCGCTGTCAATAGTGGAAGAAAGCTTCGATTCGGATCTCGAGTCAAATCTTATCAAATGTAAAATTTTTCGAGTATAGTTTTTCAAAAATTTATTAATTGCAGCGTTAATTAATTAAAACTCTCATCTTCAAGTTCCTATTTCTATCCAAGTACATTCACTTCCTATTTGACTCTTTTTGTTGGCAGAAAAACCAATGTCGTTTATTTTCATTCAACTAAATCTATGAGACCTCAATCCATCGGTTTTAACTCAACTTCAAGTAGTCCTAAGCTTACTGATATAATTTTAGGTTACTATAAACTAGGGTGCTTCCATTGTAGTATAATTTTCCATGTCGTCCATATATTTTGGACCAATTTCTCAATTTCAAATCCAAATTTCATGACTTCAATTGGATTAATCTTAGTTCCTAAAATTCGTCTTAGTAATTTCGCGTTACAGTTTTGGTGCAAAATTTCTGTATCTCAATAAAATATTTTGCTCTGATTTACATTTTTTATCACTCTTTGCTCTTGACGAGTGGGAGAAAAGGAGCAATTGCTTCAAATTTACAGTACTTAAAATTTTCCCAGTTAGGGGAAGTGTTGTGATTTATTAAATCGCTTAGCAAGTTAGTTATTTTAACAGGCTGTCCATGACTTGGACTACTTCTAGCGATCTCCAACGGCTTGAGCGAGTTCAGTTTTTATGCATTTAGTTAGAAATAACAAACATTTTCATTGAACTTTTCAGTTTTCTTATAAATTTTAATCTCAGTTCAGTTAGAACATTAGCATATTTTAGTGGAGATTTAAAAAGATAAAGTTTCAAAATGATAAGAGAAGGCAGTGAAGAATGTGGTAGCAATTTCTTCCTCAAGTAATACAATGAAATGCCGGTTTATCGATATAGATTTCAAAATGTATCATCTTCAAATACAATAGGATTGCGGCGTCAAAAACTTGAAACCTAATGAAGTACGATTGAAAAATATCCCAGCCATTTGAAATGTTGAATGAGACTAGTAAATAAAAGATTTTGGAAGAACTGGTTTTTTGCAGTTTCTACTTTTTTAGACTTGTTTAGTGTTAGTTTTTGTACGTCAACTAATTCAACCTTATATTTATACGTTGTATTGCAAATTGTTTTTAAGGAAAAAGGATCAATTTAATTGTTTACTACCCTTGGAGAGCGCTTTAAAATGTTTGTCAAGTTGGGAAACGTCAAAGTAAAAATAATATCTCTCCTAGCCAACCATTCAGAAAAAAAAACAATGTTATTTTCTGCACTTTTTTACAATTTACAATTTGTTTTTTTTTCTCTCAAATCTATCTGTAGTGGGGACGAATTTCGATAATTTATTGAGTACATTACATTTTCATATAACAGGAGAAAAATGATTTTTTCTCAAAGAGCAAAAGTACAAATGGCGCAGTGCATCAATTATATAATATCATTTTCAGGCAACTTTGATTTTTCTTATTTCAAGCAGATACTTACTTTGAGGTATCCCAGTGGAGTTGGAAAATAACAAATTTAGATAATAAAAACATAAAATATTATAACAAATCATTATAAAATTTTATCATTTTTTTCATTGGGTTAGTTTACCAAAAACATTTCTGGGAAAATGTGAGATTTTATATATCAAAATTAAAAATTCATAAGAAAACTTTTTCTTTCCGTTTCCTTGAAACTTTCCCATAAGCTTTTGTTTTTTTACAATAACTTACGCATTAACAATGTCTTCTTTGTTCGAGTAATTATAATATTCTTAAAAAATTGTTTTCAGGCTCACAAATTTGTAGATTAGTATCAGATATTAGTAATAACTGTATCATCTTGTTAAGCCTGAGATAATGCCTTTGGATCGTTTTGATACCTCTCTGAGCGGTTGATTTTCAGTTTTTTTAATGCTGAAAAGGTAGAACAAAATTTAGACTAATATGTATATATATAATAAAAGAAATCTAAATTACACTGTTGATAGACAGAATTTTTCTTAAGTTGAAAAAACGAAAGAATTGAAGTATGTTTGATTTTATCAAAAACACCAACACAAAAACATGAACATGAGATTTGTTTCCTCAGTCGAATATAAGAATTACTAATTTGTGATTTCCCACTATGAATATGTCCAAAAAGCTGTGATTTATTTCATTAAATTCTGTGGTTGAGGCCTTCAAAGTTGTTTCTTTAAAATCAATCTGATGTCGAAATGAGGCATTGAAGATTTTCCTATTTCGTGTGATTATTGAATTTTTAGTATTCCTGTGAGCACTTGTACTCATCTGTGCAGCAGTTGACTTTTTTGCTAACCTTGGTGAGATATTCAGACGAAACTATGTTGCTTATTACTTCAACATTGTTTTTATTTCTAACTGCTTTGTTAGATGTTTTCATTAGTTCATAAAGATAAAGTCAGTAGCGCTGTAGAGATGATAATATTCAAATGAGCCCTTTGAAGTCTCAAACTGTTTTCTGCGAAAAATTATTCGCTAAATTTGCAGTATAGTCGGCATACAAAAATGTCTTTGTATCTTTTTGTTCGAGATCTAGCCAATCAGGTCTGCGTCCGAGACTCCCTACCTTGAAATGATATTTCCGTACGTTCAGTCTATTTATGCGCAGGCGCACACTCCGGCGATCTTGAATGGATGACAGGGCAGTTGAAAATGCTTTCGCATGACAAGTTCGTCCTTCGGCCCAATTATAATGCTCAACTAAAACTGGACATGATGGTTTAAAAATCAACAAATTTTTTTCCCCGATTTTGGGGTTATTCCGAGTCTGATGCTCCTCTACTGGCCCCTAAGAGGCCAACAGAGCATCCTACAAGATTCTCGATAAAAAATTTTTTCGAAAAATTCAATTTTTCTTCAACATTTTTTCTTAGTCTTAACAGTTTTCTTATCATTTGTGACAAATCATGAAAATTTGCGGCAGCTTACGAGAATTGTTAGTAATTCAAATTTTCCATCTTGCTATATACAACCTAAACCACTTAAGCAAATGTAGGACATATCTACATTCAATTTTCTCTTTTTTCTACAATTTTCGGTAAAACGACCTATTAAGAAAATTATAAATGCCAAGAACTAAACAAAAAGAAAATTTTAGCATTTTTGCTATGAGGAACTTCAAATTACCCAATTGAAAACTCGTTTTCGATTTCAGAATCCATTATTTTCAAATTTCAAAGTTTTTTTTTCCGAACTTCTGATGATCGTCTCAAAAATTGAAATTATTAATTTTCGTAAAAGCGGAAGAAAACTATGCCAAATAGTTTACAGCATCATACCACATCTCTTAGGCACTATTAGAAACGTCTTCTTATCCAAGATCAAAAAAAGTGCTGAATTACAGAAGACTGAAAAAATCCGTTTTTTGGGGTCGTTGGGAAAAAGTCAAAAATGACCCAAACCCATCTCAAAAAAGCATCATCAAGTGGCGTTGTTAAATTGCTATTATTTTTGAGATCTAGGGTCGAATGCAAAAAATTAGGGAAGTCAGGCCGGGAGTTTTTGAGAACCCGACTATTATTTTCAAAAAAGTAGGAACGTTAAACTGGCCAAATTTCAAATGGTCCGAGGGGGCCTCTAACTCCTCTCAATGGGTTTATATAGCGTCGTGGGCACGCGCCCATCTAGATATTTAACAAAAATGATGAAAAAGAGTGGACCTAGCGTAGTGTTTTAATAATATTATGTGTTTTGTTTCCTGTTTTGTAAATATGGTTTCAGCAGACCAAACACAGAACCTCATAAGCAATATAAATCTTTTTTTGAAATGTTAACTCGTGATTTACTGT